ATGTCGTAGATAGCATTTACCTAAATACAATGTACCTAAATATAAACAACTACACAATGTCCTTTACATGTTTTTGCATTTTTTTTAATTTTTTTTATTACAGCTTTGGTATTAATTTTCCATTTGTTTTTGGAAAATATTTGGTATAAAATTCACATGTAAAATGTATCTTGATTTCTCTTTATTTTCTTTGTCTCCTATTTCAGATATCTCAAACATGCACTTCATTGACAATGGAAACCAAGTACACTAATTTATGAAGAAAAAAAATATTAGTGTAAAAATTGTTGGTTGTGATGGATATGATGGATAAATCGATTATTTTACACACACAAAAACAAATGTAAATTATTTTCACACAATAAATATTGAAATGGTTTATGTTTTTTAACAATGTTAATATTTGGGTTTTTTTAACTTTTTTTTTTTTAACTTTTTGTTTAGCTTTTTCATAGTTTACATAGCCTGTTTTATGAAGGATTTTCAGTTTATGATTAAAAATCTGGGTCTTAGAAAGTGTACAAATAAACAACCAAATCCATTGACTCTTGCATGTTTGAACCTCTAAGCTTTCAGTAACCAGACAGTTTCTTTAACAGCTGCACCAAACCTCCGTTACTCTTGTAGTGAAATAATATATCTTTGCTTTCTCTTTGAATGTTACCTACCTTAATTTGCAACATGAATGGCCTAGATACTTATAACATCAACTCATCTGCTGTCAAAAAGCATCTTTCTCCATTGACGACCATTCAAAAGCATATGTGTATTTTATGAATTAAAAATGTACCAAGCAACATATAAATCATAAATATGTTATTATATTATAGTAGATGTTTAGCCAGCGCTCTTCAAAGCATGAAATGGATAGGTTTCCCTGACCACTGCCACTGACGTCACAGCTCAGGCTGCTCAGTAGTGAATGACTTGTGACTGTGCACATTCTTGCGGTGCCATCAGCCAATCAGCACCGACATGACATCATTTCCCTCTGCGTTTATGGCCAGGCAACTGCTACTGAATGGGAATGCTAATGGATGGCTTTCTCCAGGTATTACAGACCTCCCGGATCTCTCCGAACGGCCATTCAAGAAAATTCTGCAGACAGACCGACAGACTCAACCACAATGCTCTGAAAAAGCTACATAAGCAAGAGTAATGGCCACAATCTTTCTGAGTGCAAGTCGTGTCCTTGAAGACATTTACATTTACTGATGCTTTTATCCAAAGCGGCCTACAAAAGCGATTCGTCTTGAGCAGGAAATCGCATTAGAAGTTTTAAAGTTGGTTTAAAAAGAAAAAAAAAAAGTACACACAAATACAGAGAAGAAAGGGGTTGAATACAACTATCTAGTAGGTCAGTTTATCTCTCAGCTTATGAAGGATTATTGTTATTATTATTATTATTATTATTATTATTATTATTATTATGGCAGGGATAGTATAGTTAAATAAAACTAAAACCATAAAAAAACATTTTTGCTGATAGAAATAAAAGTGCTATATAAATGTTGGCTGAAATAAAATATTAAAAATAAAACTTAAACTTTAATTTCATTTCAGCAGTTGCCAAGAAACATTTCTCATTTTCATTTAGTTTATCTTGATGTACTGAAATAACTAAAACCAAAACTGAAATAAATATGAAAAAAATCATTCAAAAAATCATTAAAAATAAAAAACTAATAATTAATAGAAATGGCAAAATCACACTATAAAGGTAATAAAAATATCTAAAATTAAAATGAAAACTGAAAATATAAAAACTAATTCAAACTTTTAATGAAAACTATAATAGTGTATTTCAATTTTACTAAAATAACACTGATCATGACCATTTATTATCATTTATTTATTATCAGTTATTATTTTTTTATTACATTTTATGCACATATATATGGTTTACGTCATCAGAAAAAAAACTACAAATAATTTTTTTATATATATTTCATTCGATTTTATATTCTAAATGTAATGTTGTAATGTTAGGTATAATAATCATGGAGGAAAAAGTGAGCAGTCAGGCTTGATAGGACTTTTACAGAATTGAGGAAGAGAGCTGCTTTTTTCCACATTGTGACAGTTAAACATAAAATCTGTGATCCGCATGATTTCCTTTTGTTAAATACGACCACCAACTATCTTGTGTTTCCATTTTAAGACTGCAGAAAACCTTTATACTGCCTTTCACATCTGGGAAATTGTATTACAGATAAGGCAGTGGCTTTTTGAAAGGTCACAAATTTTAGTGGAAACGATCATGTACTTAAAAGTCATATTTTGTTCCCTTTCCATTTTATAACAGTAACTGCTAATATAAAATGGATAGTTGCAATCATCGATGCTGATTGGCCAATACTGTCAATAAATAAATAAACAAACAGATTTGAGACTTATTTAAAAATAAGACAACCAATCATGAACACCTCTGTGCCGGCCTCATTAAATATTCATGAGGTATTCATTGTGACCTGTAAACTGCAGATTTGTCTATGGCTATTTTTCCCTTCATTTACACTTTATCCCAGCGATCAGTGCACTGAATGTCACTTTGGATAAAAAGGGTCTCTTAAATGACAAGTGACCTGTGTTCACATTCATGAACACCACATTTTAGGCATTGAGGAATCATAGCATCAGGATTAATGGGGTGTATGTGGACCCCGTATAGATTCCCTAAAATTATTCATTTGAGACCGCCTGGCTGAATGCTACCATGGTTGTCTGGCACCTTGTGTGTTCTGGACCTGTTTCACATATTCCTGAAGAGGACGTGCTCCATCGCTGACTCAAGTGGTACCAAGTTTCCAAAAAGTAAACTTGGTACTGCTGGTACTAAATACAAAGTATCCAAATCATTTCATTTTTTGCAGTCTGAGCACTCAGAACCACATTTGTTTTAAAGGAATAGTTCGCCTAAAAATGAAAACTTGCTGAAAATGTACGCACCTTCAGCTAGGCCATCCAAGATGAGTTTGTTTCTTCATCAGATTTGGAGAAATGTAGCATTGCATCAGTGTCTCAGCAATGGATGCTCTGCAGTGAATGGGTGCCGTCAGAATGAGAGTCCAAACAGCTGATAAAAACATCACAATAATCCACAAGTAAACTCCAGTCCACCAGTTAATGTCTTGTGAAGCCAAAATATGCTTATTTGTAAGAAACACATCCATCATTAAGACGTTTTTAACTTTAAAAATTAGCTTCCAGCTAAAATACGAGTTCATAATTCATAATGTTTCCTCCAGTGAAAAAGTCATCTGGTCTGAATCAGGAGAGAAATCTGCGCAGATCAAGCACTGTTTACAAGCCAAAACAGCTCTAAACAAATATGTGGGTGGATTTTGATGTGAGAGACAACAAGAGATGGACTTTTTCACTGGAGGAAGCATTATTATGGATTATGGACTTAAGTATTAAATATTTTAGCCAGCAGCAGCATTATAAAGTTAAAACGTCTTAATGATGGATTTATTTTCTTACAAACACGCAGCTTTTCACTTCACAAGACATTAACTGATGGACTGGAGTGCTGTGGATTATTGTGATGTTTTTATCAGCTGTTTGGACTCTCATTCTGACGGCACCCATTCACTGCAGAGCATCCATTGCTGAGACACTGATGCAATGCTACATTTCTACAAACCTGGTGAAGAAACAAACTCACCTACATCTCGGATGGCTTGAAGATGAATACATTTTCAGCTAATTTACATTTTTGGGTGAACTGTTCCTTTAAAGATGGTTTGAAATCAGATCTTTGTAAATGTATGTTTGAAGTACATTTTCATTCAGCATGCAACAGCTTAACATCAGGGACCCCTAGTGAGCTGCACAGTTAGCTGTAGCTTTTGAAAATGTAGTCACAAATGAGATTTATTGCCAGTAAAAATTAAATATCAGGCAATGAGTACGTTTTCTTGCTACTAAAGTGAACAATCTGGAAGGGGAATGATCCTGTATAAATTGCAGTATGCATCATGCATCATAAATGCATCATCATTTGCGCATGATTTAATTTCTTTCAGCTACATTTAAAAATGAAAACAATTCCGAAAAAGAGAGATCGCAAAAAAGCGAACTTAGCAAGATTTTTTGTATTTTTATTGTTGGGCCAGTGTGACAACGTCTCCCAAACTTGAGAACCCATTCATCTTGAAGTATCCTGAAGTGTAATTATAACTGAGCATTCATTCACAGCACTGCAGCTACAGCAAGAGAATGAGTACTGATTTTAAAATCCTCATTTGTAAATGATTATCCTATATCTCTGCAGACTGAAAGCTGATGGACTGGTGCGCAGGCTGCTGAAAGCATTTCAATCAGCATATACTGCCACACAGTGTCACGACTCAGAAAGTGTAGAGCAGAGAAAGTGATTCTCACTTCTGCCTTTATCTTTGCTCGCATATATGCAGTATTTTATTGATGAATATGTTTTATTTTTTAGCTCCAGCTGACATTTTAGTGTCAGATACACATAGCATAGGCCTATGTAATGTAATGTAATTTTTAAAAAGTGTTTTATTTATTTGATAATTATTTTCACAACGTATTTACATTAAATGTTTTCATTTAATATATGTGTATAATGTCAATATGCAAATAAAATAATTCTTGCTTTTGCTTAGTTTTTATTTTTTACATTTTTTTAAATGTAACACGACTTCCAGGATTTTGCATATGGCATTAAAACAAAATTTTACTCATTTTACTTCTCCAACTAAATCCTGTCCGGTGATGGTTATCATGAATGATTTCGCTTGTGCTTGTTCTTTTCCCACCTATACTTAAGTGGTCACTGCAAACGATGACTAAACTGAACATCCAGCATAAACATCCTCTGATCAGTTACAAAAACTCGGTATAGGTCATTGATATAATGAACGGTAACCTATGACGCAGCCACCCAACGGAGAAACTGGCAAAATCGGCTATAAAACCCTGAGCCGAAACTGCGCTGAGAAAGAGTTGAGCTCGACACCTCTGGGAGTAAATGAAGGGTCGTGGTCGCGTTCTCTCCGTAAAACGTATTTAAACAACTGCCCTTCTCCTCTGACATCCAGCGCACTGAAGCAGCATCACGATGATCATCTCGCATTTGGTGGCTTGTGGACTTATTCTGACTCTTCTATCAGTCAGCACGGAGACAAAACCACTAACGCAGGCAGAACAGAGGGTGAGCTTGAAACTTAGACATTTATGCAACAAATTGTACAGTTTGTGTAATACATAGTAGGCTGAAACAAAGTCAAAAGTATATATGATGCACAGTTTGATATGTAAAAGTTAATATAAGGTCATTTTAACTTGGGTGAAAGATGCGCAAAAGCTCGGATATGCGGTTGCGCGCAATGTATGCGTGAAACTACGAGTGTGTAAATAAACAAACATCATCTCAAGTTCAAAATGGACTTTTTTTGCTATTCATCTGTATGTCCTTCTCCTCCTCCTCATCATGCAAACGCGATTTGAGAGCATCGTTAAAGCGCAGGAGCTCCAGGAGACTCGGACACTTGTCCGGACGCAAGACTTCTGGAGCAAAACTTTTGAGTCATTCATTGTTGAGGCTTATATTTCAACAGGTTCTCGTTCTCAAATAAGTACATAAAAAAACGCGTTTTTCAGACGCGTTGCGTATGGTTTAGCTACTTATATAAAACATGAATGAATAAATTAGAGCTCTCTCTAAACGTTTACGTATATTAAACATAAATAAAAATTCCAGAAATCTCCTATATATAGCAATAACAGATACACTGTGACATAAAACTAATACACTATAAATAGAAATAAAGTAGTAGGACCGGAGGACTTTCCGAGCCTGTTACTGAAGAAGTGAGTCAGGCGTTACACTTTAACATTTACAAACGGCTTCCTTAACAGGTCTTTATTGATATTAATAGATTAATTTAGAAGCTGAAGAACCATTTTATGCTGAAATGAGACTTTGTGGAAGAGTTTATGAGCTCAGATTGGATCGTGCTGTTTTGTCAGGTAAACTAAACACGTGGAAACTAGTTTATTCAAGTCAGAAATCTTGTTTAATATTAATAAAACCTCAAATCTATAAAATCTCATTTTAAGAGTCAGATCAGGTAACAGATCTTTTAGGTAACAGTTGAGATTTTTACAGTGAACATATATATATATATAGACAAAAAACTGGATGTTTAGCAAGTGAAATTGAGAACTTGAGTAGTAATAGTGCATTTTGAGTTCTGAGAGCTGTTTTTCTGAGAGTGTTTCTGAAGTGCTGCATCCATGTATCCCTCAGTCCCTGCGGATGCTGTTGGGAGAGGAGCTGTCTGAGTTCCTGGCGTCCGATGAGAGCCAGAGGAGGATGGAGAACCGAGTTCGTCTGCTCCGGGACCTGCGCATGGACACTCGGGCCAAGGGCCCCTGGGCTCGGATCCTGAACGAGCAGCCCGGCTCACGCAGACACAAAGCTGGATCTAAGAAGGGAGGAACGACGGCCAGGAGCGGATGCTTCGGACACAAGATGGACAGGATAGGAACCATGAGCGGGATGGGCTGTCAACCCTCTCTTTACCCATCTGCAAATAATCTCTCCTGGTGAGTGTCTGCAGAGATCTCAGTCTTAGATATGTGTAGATATACAGTTTTTAGAAATTGCATGTATTTTTTTTATTAATTTTAATTTAATTAATTAAATGTTATTTTTATTCATATTAATGACATTTAATTACATTTATTTATGTGTGTGTATATATATATATATAGTATTTGTAGAGATCTGAATCTAAATTTATTTATTTATTTATTGAGTATCTGTAGAGATCTAAATCATGATTTTTTCTTTTCTTTGTGGGTAAATTCTTTGGAAATTACAATTAGTTTCTAAAAAATAAAAAAGCACAAATTTTTAAACTAATGTTAATATAAAATTAATTATTATATATAATGTAAATATATGTAAATATTATTTTTGAGGGGTATCTAAATTTGAGGGTAATTAGGCTAATCTGAAAAAATGTAAATTAATTTTATTAAATTAATATATTTTATATATATTTGTGTTTATATTATTGAATTATCACATATATTGTTTCTGTAGCAATCTAAATCTTTATTATTATATTTGTATATATATATATAATTTTTGAAGTGTCTGTATAGTCAAAATTGATATTTGTAGATATACTCTATCTATCTATCATCTATCTATCTATCCAGCCCTCTACGAACACCTTGGCAATTGAATCGCCATTGGCTAGTAAATTTTTTTGTTTACTCGCCAGACTGATAAATATATACATACACATATACATATATACTCTTTCTATCTATCTATCTATCTATCATCTATCTATCTATCTATCTATCTATCTTTCTATCTATCTATCTATCATCTATCTATCTATCTATCTATCTATCTTTCTATCTATCTATCTATCATCTATCTATCTATCTATCTATCTATCTTTCTATCTATCTATCTATCATCTATCTATCTATCTATCTATCTATCTATCTATCTATCTATCTATCATCTATCTATCTATCTATCTATCTATCTATCTATCATCTATCTATCTATCTATCTATCTATCATCTATCTATCTATCTATCTATCTATCATCTATCTATCTATCTATCTAAATCTTAGATATTTGTAGGTATACTTTTTTGGAAATTTCATTCAAACAAATGCATTGCATTTATTTATTTTTAATATGTATAAAATTGTGTGTGTTTGTGTGTGTGTGTGTGTTGCATATGACCTTTTTTGTGCCCCTATGTATATGACATTTATCATGTGACATGTTAAACACTCACTAAATTCCCGATTATAACTGAGTTTCTTGATGCAAAAGGCTTCACATGAGATTATAACAGGTGTTGTATGATTGCAGGGAGCTTCATTGTGTTAAACTTGATTTGACCTCTGCAGTGGGTTTAATAGGTCTGGAGTGTGTAAGTGTCCTGGAGAACAAACTACGGAGCAGACAGATTTCGTTTGAGTGCCAAACTGATGAGAAGAGTGTTTGACTGTGTGATGCAGGACTGTCGTCAAAGAATCTGACGCGACGCGTGTCTACATCCATCTGACTACATGTCCTCTTTTTCAGAGCGAATCACGGACGCCATCGATTTTGGACAGAACAGACTTGCTCCTCGTCTGAGGAAAAACCTAGAGAATCGGACTCATGGTACGAAGCCACTACGAGAAGCATCTGTGGGGACAATGAAGCGTACAAATGAAATAAAATAATTAGATGACATATATGTACAAAATAAAAGAAACACATGGCGGATGACAAAAAGCTGTATATTGTTGCTACTGCTGTACATTCATGTATTTCATTCTCGCATAAATGTATTTATGTTTTAAAAACTATTTATATGTTTATAAAAGAGATATTTATAAATATGAGTTTATTTATGTAACATTTTGAAATGAATGCAAACTGCAGGTCAATTCTGTTTGTAACTATTCTGTCTCTAATAGTTGTAAATGTTTTAAAAATCATTAAAAATGCACAAATGCAAAAAAATAAAACGGATCACGAAAGTTTTTTACGTTTTTACAATTTAATTTTGTGCAAATTATGATGAAAATGAATTATTTATATATATATAATCAATATTTTTGACTTCAGTATTAAACTAAAATAATATTATTTGACTTAAATAATAAACTTTCAGTAAAAATAACAAAACATCCATAAAACAAGATAAATTTATCACTATTGTGTAATTGTGCAAAACAATACAACATATTTCTTTCTGCATTATATCAAGCGATATTTGTTTTTACAATTTACTTAATTCAACGTGTATTCTCTGAGAACAATAAATAAAATAAATTCTCTTTAGAAATAAATACAGCAAATATATCTTGTTTTGAGGATTTTTGGATATTTCTACTTCGAAATCGGGACAAAAAAAGAGAGATTTTCTCTTAGAAAAGCGAGTGAGTAAAAAAGCCTGCGGTCTCTATACTGAATATTTCATTAATAAACCTGCTGTAATGAATAAGCGGGGACATGAGAGAGCAGTCTGTTCAGATGAATCTCTCAAACATTAGGCAAGCATTTAAGCAGAATTTGAACTGAAATGGCAAAAAGGAGTCCAAGAACATTAAGTTTGACCCACTAAGTGGGCAAAACAGCAGATTTATTACAATGAATTAGTGCTGTATATATTTATAGAGTGCTTTTAAAGGAGAATTACACAGGGAAGAAAAAACGGTGTTTTGTCCTTGAAAGCCGATTTTCAATGACTCACGCTGGCTCATTTGGGTCTATATATATATATTGCAAAAGAAGAGACCCTGTGACAGATAACTTCACTCCAGTTAAACAAATTACAAGAAACACGATATATGACCATTGAACTTACCAGAGAAACTGGGAGAACAACAGCTTGTTCAGACTTAAAGCACACAGAAACTATATAAATAGCTATATATACTGATATAAAAACTATTTATTTTTGTAATTATATGATCAACACTGGATCATTTTTACACCCTGGCCATTTAAAATCCAAATAGTGGGAGCAGGATTCATTAATTGAATACATCTTTGGTGAATAAAAAGTATTAATTTCTTTAAAAAAAAAAAAACTTACTGACCCTAATGTTTTTGAACTGTAGTGTATATATCAAATTGATTATTTAAAAATATATATTATAAATTTGAAAATAATTAAAATGAATTAGATTGTATTTATATTCATCATGACTTCAACATTTTTGTCCAAAACCATGCAGAAAACAAATAAACCATATCCAGAAAACATGACCTGGGGAAAACTAAATGAAAGATTAAAAAATAAAATAAAGACTAAACTTTCCACCTAAGAATAATAGTACAGAATATGAAGAAATGCTTGTTTGGTCGGAAGTTGCAGTACCCCTAATAGCCTGCAGGCGGTCACTGCTACAGAGCTGCACCTTCAACATGCTTCAACTGCCGTTTAAAATGCAATAATGCCATCTTGTGGCCGCTGATAATCTCCTGTAAAAGATTCCTCGTTGCATAAGAGGAGAAGATGGGAGAACTGAAGGCATGGATGAGATGAGTCAGATTTCAGAATGAACATCTTACATGCTCTGTTTACAGGGGTTTACAGACTACGAGTATAAGACCCGAAAAACATGTGTTCTCTTACGTCTTGTCTTTGTCTTAATTGTGTTAGTAGCGTACTTGCATTGTCTCATAGGCCAGAGTTGTCAAATTCATTCACTGGACAAAAGCGGCGCCTTATTAAGGTATAATTTCTTATTTGTTACACCTTACTTCACCTATTACTGTAAAAGGATAGTTCAGCTAAAATGAAAATGTTGTCATCGTTTACTCACCCTCACATTGTTCCAAAACTGAATACGTTTCTTTCTTCTGTGACTTTTTATATCACAATTAAGATTTATAATCTCACAGTTTTATGAGATATAAACTCAGAATTACAAATGACAATATATGTATGTATATCAGAATTGTGAGATAGAAAGTCGTGACTACGTTTTTTTATTTTATATTTCATGATGGAAACAAAAAGGCAGAATTGTGAGGTATAAACTCAGAATTTAGATATACACACTGACTTACAATATATAAACTCAGAATTGCAAGATATAACTCAGAAGAATTATAAGATATAAACTCAGAATTGTGAGGTTTAAACTCAAATATTATCTCAGAATTACGATATATTATCTCAGAATTACAAGATACAAGAATTGTGAGATATAAACTCAGAATTACAAGATATAACTCAGAATTGTGAAATATTATCTGAGAAATACGAAATATATAGAATTATAAGATATAAACTCAGAATTGTGAGGTTTAAACTCAAATATTATCTCAGAATTACGATATATTATCTCAGAATTACAAGATACAAGAATTGTGAGATATAAACTCAGAATTACAAGATATAACTCAGAATTGTGAAATATCTGAGAAATACGAAATATTATCTCAGAATTACGATAAATAAAAAAAGAATTGTGAGATATAAACTCAGAATTGCAAGATATAACTCAGAATTATGAGATATAAACTCAGAATTACGAGACATGAACTCAGAATTACGAGAATTAATGAACTAAGAATTACGAGACATACTCAGAATTACGAGACATAAACTCAGAATTACGAGAAATGAACTCAGAATTATGAGACAAACTCAGAATTACGAGACATAAAC